TTTGGAATATTCTTATCCCAAAAGATGCTCCCTCAAATTTTTATCATTTAAGTAACTTTGAGAAAATATCCATTAAGTTGTAAGAATTCTAGACTAATTGCGCAAACCAGCCTTCTCATTTCAGTCTTCAAAGTGGTGATAGATGACCGATCTCCAAGAGTTTGTTTGCTGCTCACTTTTTGTAAACCAAAATACAAACTAAAAAATGCTGAATAATGTCTTAATCAGGCTGAAAACTAAAATTAGATAGACTGTTACACTACATGATTATGTTTGCTGTGGATTATGCATTAAAATCTGAGTATTTATGCCCTTGAACTTGGAGTGCATAGGTACATTTTGATAAGCTCCTCAGCGGCTTTCTGAAGAGACCCTCCCATTGGCATGTGTAATATTCCTTTATATCCAACACTAGTGAAAGCATGACCCCAAGCTCCCTCACAAGTTTCATTCTGTTTAGTTTGCTGAGGTTTTATATAGTTAAAAACATAAATTATTATTCTTAAGTACAGGATCCTATGGCCATTTTTTCTATGCCCTGGTATCCTGTGGCCCGAGCCCCTGGTCCACCTCAAAAAGTAAAGGATCTATAATGGAATATTATGCAGTCACAGTAAATAGTTTTAAGTAACTTTTAATGACATGGGGAAATGTTTCTGTATACAAAGTTGAGTAAAAAAAAATTGGGAAAAATTGGATATACACTGTGATCCAAGTCTGTTGAGACACAAGTATTTACATTAACATACATTTTAAAATGACTAAAATTTTTTTTCATAAAAGAGCTAAGTTGGCTATCTCCAGAAAGTGGAATTACATATGAATTTTACTTTGTTCAGTGTGTTTTTGAGTCTATTTCTTTATAACCCAAAACTAATAATGCAATGTAATGTAATATAACCCAGGCAACAACTGGAAGCTAAGAACCATAAGGACTTATAGGCATAAGTCCTATACATCATTATGGTAGTTGCCTAATTCAGAAATGGTTTGAAAAAGATATAAATTAATCTTGCAACATTTCCCTTATATATTCAAGAACACTCATTATCCTGAATTTGCCTGCTTCGATTATCTGCTTTTTCTTCTGTCTTCCCACTGAGGCTGAGAAGGCTGAAAGAAAAAAAAAAGAGAGAGAGAGAAAGCGTCCACCCTAAACAAAAGGGAACTGCTGAATTCATTTCTGGACTCTTTCTAACTCCTCCTGGACTACTATGGCCCGGAGGAGGGAGAGCATAGAAAACCAGCACTGTTGAGCAGCTTGTATTTTCTGAACAGTAGAGCACATAAGCACATAAGAATTCTCTTTCTGCAAATAGAGAGGCAGGGTTTTTGGAGGATATCAAAAGTTTGTTTATTTTTGCCCCAAATTCAACAGATCCTGTCAACAGCAGCAGGGAATATTTCAAAAGTTGCTTGGTGAAAAGACGAACTTATAAACTCTGAGAGGGTAAGGACTATGCTCTTTCTCATATTTGTTGGCACAAAGGCTAGGACAATGTTTCTCACAAGTGCCCAATAAGTGTTGAATTCCAGAAACCAAAAATACTGGGGGGATTTCAGACAGCTGAAAATGTAGTGTTTAACAAGCTTCTGAGTCCAGCGGAATGAACTTCATGGTTTTTAAAGGCCAACAGAGATTGATGGAACCATTAGCAACTGAGGGATGGATGGGGCATAGAACACATTGAGGCATGTGTAATTTTTAAAGGAAGTGCATTAAAAGAGTTGCTACACCCAAAATGCATCAGAAAAAGGGAGTGAAGGGGACCAGAAGGAACACATGTGGGTTGGACGAGTGTATTTCTTTATGGTTTTATGTTTGAAAAGTTAAAAAAATGTGTATTGATTTTAAGGGTGGATTGGAAGGTATGGATGTTGAAGGAGTATGTATGTCCAGATATGTGTGTATATCCAAACCTTGTTGGAAGGTATGGCATGATCATGTATATGATTTTTAAATTCTGAGAACTACTGAGTCATTTATATAATTGAGTTCCCATGCAAACCATCTGACTACTAAGAAATATCCTTTAAACTTTAATGATCATGACCTTCAATGCTTCCAGAGCCAGTGATAATACCTGTTCATATATTTCCAACCCTAAATACTTTTTAAAAAATAGAGATAATGCTCATCATTTATTTCTTCTCATCTGCTTAAGAGCCACTTGATAATTTCTTTGACCTCCTTCTATAGCCCTGGTGCCAATTAAAGCAGCATTTGTCTGAAAAGCAGAGAGCAAATATGCTAATGCATGATCACCTGCGGAAAAGGAACTGTACCAAGATAACAGGAAAATGGACACCTCAGGCCATGGGTCGGTAGGGTGGGATAGTTATCAGGAACATGAGCTGAGAGAGAAGGGAGACCCTTGTTGATGGTATATCAGTGCTCAGTCCTTCCCTCCAGCAATTCTGGCAACAGAAAGCAAAATCAAAGCATAAAGGGCACATGCATACCTGTCGTGTATGTGTCTGTGAATTTCCTAGGCACCACTAAAATGTCCATCCATAGCCTAAGCCTATGGCATTCCAGAATGGAAGATAATTAAAAGACTGATTTGTATATTCAAATATCAGGCCAGTTTTACAAAGTGAAACCTCTTCTGGGCCTCAGAGCTTTCTGATGAAAGACATTTAAGCACCAATTAGCCCATTTCTACAATCTAGGTAATAAGATGGTCTTGACAACTTTCTCTCTTTCAAAATTCAAGTTATTCTCAAGGAACTGTAACCACAGACAAGCACTTCATGATTTGGGGAGTGAGAGATTTTTTTAAAAAAAAAAAAAGCATTTCCTTTGCACACTTAAACACTCCCATAGTACTTTACTTTCCCTAAACTTCAAAATCTGGCAGAAAAGAGAATACTAAAGAGAAAATCATTCCTTAAGAAAGAGATTATAAAACATCATGTGCTTCTGAATTTCTTTAATAAATCTCATCAAAATTGGCAGAATGTATCTTTTATAAAGCATCCCACACAATGTGGACACTATGTGTCCATAGTGCTATGGACCCCTTGAGTCTGTTAAAAACCTCAAGACTTGAAACTTGACTGGAAGGGTCCAAATCCCATTGATTTACCTCAGGACCTTATATAAGCACTTGAACCATATTCTGCCTCAGCTCCCTTGTCCTGCAACCAAAACCCTGATAGTAATACTGTCTACATTATAGAGTTATTTCTGTGAGGATTAAATGAGTTAATACACCCAAACGCTTAGCACAGGGTCTAAAACCTAGAGAGGACCCTAAAAATGTAAATGATGTTAACATCATAAAAAGAAACTGTACTTTAAATCACTTTAAAACAGCTCTTAAAATTTAAACCGTTGTTAGCAAATCCCTGGCCCCCACTCCCAGCAAGGAGGCATAGAGATGAGCTTCCAAGTGAAAGTAAAAGATCATGCGATAAAGACATATACCAACAAAAAAAATCCTTTCATAAAAAATAATTTCCTGATGTTGATTAAAACCATTATCTTCTGAAATAGTGCCTTTTCTAAATGCCAACCCTTCAAAGGCTATAGCTGAGAAGGTAAGCACATTAGAAGCCACCATCATTACGTAGCTTGTTCACTAACAAAATGCCACATAATGAACTTCTAGGAATGTTTCTTATCCACAGATCAATGACAGCTTGGTTCAAAACCACATCATTTCCTTTTTCTGCTTCATTTCCTTCAAAGTGAAACATAATTTTTTCTTGGACATGAAATTAAAATTGCTGGATTAACTAAGCAAATCGTTACCAGAAATGTAATTTTATAAAAACACTATTTCGGGGTTGTCAAAAACATAAAACATCTGTGTGGTGTTTGTTAATACATAAAATAACCCAATATACATAGTGTATGCCAACTAAGTGGAAAATTGAGCCTGTAACTAGAAGTGCAAACAGAAATCATCATAGATTCCATCAGTATTGTGTTTTTAAGTCCAGTTGGGAACATTTTAAGAGCCATAACACTGCAGCTTTCTTTATTTTTGGCCAGAGGTCACAAACTACTTGACACAGATGTTTTGTTTGGCCAACACAGGGTTGGAAAATTATTGAACTCAACTACCTTTAGGTAAACCATGACCTCTGTTTATCTACCAGGCCCTCAAAGGCATCCATTTCATTTTGCAAACCCTGCTCTAAGCCTCTCTCTCTCTTTTTGATTCTCTTCTCTTTGAGAAAGAATAAAAAAATAATTATTGGTTAAATGGATACCTCTCTCACTGATGGCCTGATAAAGTCCAGAGACTTGAAAATTAAGCATACTAACAGTTATATTCAGAAATTCTTGGGTTCATTTTAATGTATATCTTCAGTGTATATAACTGTGGCTCATTTGATTAGGATTGCTGAGTTGCTAAAATTCAGTTATAGTTGGATACTAAAAGAAGTCATAAAATAAGAGAATTTTGTTTTCTTTTTTTGCTATTCTGGGGATTGACCTAGGGCCTTGTGTATGCTAAGTAAGCAGTCTACTACTGAGCTACAGCCCTAGCCCCTGAGAAATTATCAAAACACATTCTTGTGGTATGAAAGTTTGGATAAAGTTCAAATTTTACATTATTTCCAAAAAATTTATAACATTCTGTCAGTGGTTTATTTTTCTTCATAAAAAAAGGAAATGAATTTTCTCAATGCAGTATTTGAAGATAATTGAGTTTCTACCAATGTACTGTAATGAATATTTACATATATATACACATACAGACATATGCATATATACACATACTCAGAGCAGGGACTGAGCCAAAGCTTGCTCTTATTCTTTTTAGTTCCATCATCTGTCCTGGAAGATTCTATTCCACTTACAAGTTAAGTCTGAGTATAGGGCTAAATAAGAGAACACTGGAGTGGATTTTTCTAAAGCATTAGTTCATGCATCATTCTGAAGGTGTTAGGTTTTAGGCAATGATGAGGCAAAAGCTAATTGGCTTTAGATTTCAAATGTTGTTGATTAAGTGTTCTTATAAATTAACATAGAGAAATGCTTCCATTCATATGGCCCTAGTAAGTGCACCCTTGTCTCCAGCTTCTTCCTCAGAAGACAAATACAAGGCACCATGCAGTGAATTTGCTTCTGGAGGTGGTGCCCCTGAACTCTCCTGGATTAGTTTTTCTGAAGGTTCTGGAGAATTCTCCCTCCATCTTGGACTTGAGTGCTGTTGGGAGACTTCCCATATTGAAGGACATGGAGAAGAGAATCCCAGAGCAGATTGTGAGAGAGGATCCTCTTGAAGGCTTACATCTTGGATGCACCTATTGGAAAGCACTTCCTTTTCTTTGGAATTCCGCCATTTCATCCTTCTGTTTTGAAACCAAATTTTCACCTATTGATAAAATAATTGGAAAGAATAATAATTTATTCTATGTTATTCCACGTAAGCATTTTCTTTATTCATTTATTTGCAGCATTAGGGATGGAACCCAGGGCCTCAACTGTGCTAGGCAAGAACTGTGCCTCTGAGCTGTACCTCCATCCTCTTATTTTAGCATTTTAAACTGTACTTGCTTCTATATCCATTCTACAGGACACCTGATTATGAGACCCAACCTAGAAAGTCCCTGTGGCTTTTCACACTGGCTTATACAAAAATATCTAAGAAATTACTTTAACATAATATCCCCACATATATTCTAAAACAAAATAACCATAGTAAATTGGTTACATTCTATAAGCCTCCTGTCTTTCAAAATTGACTTAACTTTCTCAGGTATTTAAACATATCATTTGGTCGGTGCTAAATTATTTATTCAAGGAACTTTATGAACTCACATAGCATCTGAGCATGTTATTTTGTACCAAGCATCAGACCATATGCACTATAGGTGGGTTTTATACTCTGATCCTTACCATGGCTATAAGAAGTCTTCATTTCACATATAAGACAACCAAGTTTAGGGAGATTAAATGCTCAAGATTAAATAGTTAGTATAAAGGAAGCACTTAGACTAGAATGGATGACTATCCAAATCCAGTATCCAGGTTCTTGTAAAAAAAAATGCAACCTCATCAGATTTTTGAGGCTAAATTGAGACTATATTTTATAATGCTTTGTTAAATTATAGGCTTTATGTATTCCTCGGACTTGTCACACCATGATAATTAGGTTTAATAAGTAACAATTGATTGTAATTAAGCCCAAAGTTCTTATGGTGGTGGTTCTTGAATGGAGCCACAGCTTCCCCCCAATGCACCCAGCATAATGCCCTCTATATTATTATTATTTTACTTATATATTTTTGTTGGTGCATTATAATTATACATAATAGTAGGATTTCTTGCTGCATTCTCATACATGCACACAATGTAACAATATAATCTGGCTAATTTCATTTTCCAGTACCACCACTTCCTTTCTCTCCCTCCCCGCTTTCCTTTACTCTACTACTAACTCTGTTATTAGCTATGCTTTGTATCCACTGTGTACTCAGTCGTCCCTAAGCAGAAGATTTCCCAATTGGTTTTCCTGATATTCTGAAAGTCAATCACATTTTTTCCCAGTTCCCATTTCCAATTCTACTCTTACACTAACAACTTAAATTTTCATTTTTAAAACACAACTGGAAACTTTTTACCTAGATAAAGTATATCAACCAAATATTTCTCTCAATGAAGGAAAAAAATTCTATCTGAAATGGTCCTTCCAAATTGACAAAATAATTTCTTTATTCCTTCAACTTGATTGACAATGTTCAGAATGGCTGCAAAATAAGTCTACCCAGACAACTGAGTGCAAAATACTGCCAGCCCAGTTACAACTTTGTGATTAAGGCTTTTCATAAGAAAATAGCTCTGAAGTACACGTATCAGAGCATTTGGTTATATGCATGAACTTGTTTTTTATTTGAAGTTGGCATTTACTTCTACAAAGCAAGCGAAATATTTCTAATGGGTTTTCATTGAGTTATTTGTTCCCATTAGTGAAGCTGGTCTTTCTCATCATATTTGTTATTTTCTTCTTCTCTTTGTCATTCTGTATGTCTAGAAATATTTAAGTGCTATCAAAATTTAAAAACACACACGCAAAAAAAGAGTTTTTTTTCACAATCAATGGTCTTGGGACACATACATATATTTGTGACAAGACACTAAAGTTCTACCTCTTTCAACAAATACAAAAAAATATTCCAGGTAGAAACAGCACAATAAGAAAACAAAACTATCAAAGTCCTAGAAGAAAACATAACAGATTGTCATTATAGTCTTGGAGAGATGAATGTTAGCATGCCATAAATTACTAAGTCTATAACGGATAAGACAGATAGAACTGATTATATGAAAATGCAAAGTTTCTATATAAATAAACATATCAGAAACATATGAAAAAGCTAAAAGCTAGTCAAAGAATTAAAAGCAGGGACTCAAACAGATATCTGTATGTCTATCATCATAGCAGCATTATTCACAATTACCAAAACATGGAAACAACTAAGTTTTCATTGACAGATGAATGGTTAAATAAAAATGTGGTGTGTCCATATGATGGAATATTATTCAGTCTTAAAATGATGAATATTCTGACACATGCTACAACATATACGAACCTTGAAGACATTATATTAAGTGAAATGAGCTAATCACAAATCATATAGCTAAACACTATGTGGTTCCATTTATATGAGATTCTTAAGAGTAGACATTCATAGAAAAAGAGAGTATAAAGGTTGTTGACAGGGGCTGAGGAGGGAGAAAGGAGGAGTTGTTTTTGGACACAGTTTCAGTTTTATAAGAACTAAAAGTTCTGGAGATGGAGGATGCTGATGGTTGCACAATAATGTCAATTACTGAATGCCACTGAGTGATAAATCTTATATTTATTTTACCACAATAAAAAAAACCACTAACTCAGGATTTTTATAGCATCTATAACAGGAAAATGTAAGTAACTGTAATATTCCAAATATGTTTATTAATATCCAAAATAATTGCTACACATCAACAAGACACAATAAGATAGAAAAAAATGCAGTATGGAAAGGCCAGGGATGAAAAGACCTTAAATTCTAGAAGTTAGAAAAAATTCAAACTAAAAAATAATAAATACCACTGTCCATAATATTGCTGATATTATTTAAAATGATAAATGGTAAAGGGACTGCAAAAAATCATTTTTGTTAATAAGAGTGAATTTTTTACATAATTCAGCAGCTAATTTTATATAATATTGTTTTAGAAAGAAATTTTTACTCTATCACACTTTAAAAATATACATATACCTTAATAAATAATCCTACTCCTAGTTCCCTAATTTGCAATATTTTAAATGTGCATAAATAGATGGAATAGTGAAAACTAAAAGTAACTTAAAAGTTGATGGTGGTTAATTGAATTATTCTATATCCACACTATGATCTGTAATGAGACACACATGCACAAAGAATGAATTGATTGATAGGTACTGCCATGCAGGGATGCATCCTATAACATTTGAATGTGGGGAAATAAAAAGTAAAACAGTACAATCCTCAGTAGTGTTATTCACAATAGTCAAAACTGGGGACAATAATATGCTCCCTTTGGTAAAATGAATTAATCATTTTATACCATGTAATGATAATACAAGCCAAGCACGAGTAGAATGATCTGCTGCTACATGCAACAACATGAAGAATTTCATCATCATAATATTAAGTGGAAGAAACCACATACAAAAGAATACATACTGAGTGCTTCTGTTATAGTACAAAAACAGGCTAAATTAATCTATGTTGTTAGAAATGAGAATAGTGGATGTCCTTGGAAGAAGTAGATGATGACTGGGAGGGAATCTTTGGGGTCTTCCAGTATCTACTGCTTGATCTGTGCACTGGGTTACGCAGGTGATCTAAACTGTTCTTTAGGAAAAGACAAAATATATGCACAATATTCTGTTTATAGGAACACAATACACACACTAACAGATTTTCACACTTTCTTTGGAGCACTGTGAGATGGAACCTTGCTATTTTTCATCTTTCAACATCTATGTCCCCTTTAATTATTATATGGTCTTGTGTTGTTATTTAACTTTTCATGAGCTTCTACCAGGTGTACAAGTTTCTGAGGTACAAAAAAAAAGTATATCTTTCTCAGTACTCACCATATTTCCTCTTCCTGCCTATCTCACATAGTATCTTGCACACAAGAGACCAACCATCAAGATGCAGCTACTAATTTATCTGTTACATACACAAAATTGCTCTGAGACCTAGACAGAATTCCTTAATTGCTCTTGTTCTTTAAAGTGAGAAACCAAGGCACAGGGCAATCAGTTGAGGTTGTGGACTCATTAGTATCACAGTTCAAGAAGGGCACAGACTGATGGATCTAGGTCAATTACCCTGTACCACACCATGTGCTGCATCCTACCACTCCCAAAATTTGGACATGAAAGGCAGTCTATGGAGACAGAGCACATCCCTAGAGAAAGAAAGCAATGTTGAAGAAAGTGCCATACAATAATAACTGGTTTTAGTAAGGTCCAAAATGTAGCATAGGTCATCTATAGTGAGGAAGAGGAGGATGACATGATTAAGACAGAGCCTCCGCTAGCCCTTCAGTTTCTTTACACTAACTGGCAAAATGCAGGTGGATGTAGGCCTGACCAGGAAACCCATTCCCACTGCCATCCTCCCGCCAGCCAAATGCCCTGAACAGTGAACACCCTGCACAACTGTATACAGGAGCTCTAGTTTGAGGAAAACATAAACCCAAAGTCAGGATGCCTAAGATAGAAGCCCAGCTCCCAAAGAGCTTTGCTACATGACACAGGACCTATATTCAGTTCTGCACATTTATTCATCTAGAAAAGAGGCTTATTACAGTGCATTGTGATGAGAAGAAGGATTAAGTAGGAAAATGCTACAGTCTTATGTGTTAACTATTTGTAAATGGGTCAAACTTTAGAGTAGTCTTCACTGTCAAAAAGCCAGAGAGTCGCATTCAAACTACATGAAATGCAAGAAAGGTGTGTAAGAGTTGCAAATGTGAATGACTAAACTGTACATGACATAAACCCAAAGTGCAAAATAATGAGACCCATTAATGAGTATTCTTAAGTCACTTATTCATGCTTTGATTTTGGATTGAAAATGAAGAGAAAGACAAGAAAATCGGTTCCTGCTTTTGAAAGAAATTATTTAGCCTGCTTCTCTGAATACAAAGCAAAAAATTATGCTATAAATGCTACATCCTTAGCATTTCACTTCATTTTGGAAGAATCACTCAGTCCAATGGCAAGACCTAGACTTCTCAGTGATGGATCTATTTCCCAATCGGAATCATCCATTTCTACCCACTAAAAAATTATGAAAAGCATTTTGAGAACACTTCAGGGTTCTGCACTGTGCCTAGCACAAGAGATATTTACCAAATAAATGGATTTCATTGTATGCCTTCAGAAAGGAAAAGCAGGAGACATCTTCCTGATCATTAGTACCTGTGACTCCTTTAGTCCCAAGTTGATGGCAAGTTTCTTTCGGTCTGTTTTGCTGATGTATTTTTGCTTCTGAAACATTTTCTCCAGAGCCTTTCTCTGGTCCTCAGAAAATACAGCTCTTCTTAAAATGCCCCTCCGAGCTTTGGAATTAGAGTCCTGTGTCAGCAAAGGCAGCACACTCTCTTCTCCTGCAGAAGGTGGAGATGAGATACAAAAGCCCAGTTAGCATTGGAGAAAAATCAGTCTGGCATCTTCCTACTCTGCCTTGTCCAAAGGATTTCATCTCAACTCCACACACTTAGAGCAGTGCTTCCTAACCTCTTCTTGGGGGTAGACTCCTTTGAAAATCTGATGAATACTCTTTGCTTCCCACAGGAAGGGAAGAGGGGCACATGTGCTTGCCCTTTGATTTTGTGTGCTTGTCAGGAAAGCCCATGGTTTCAGGTTACAAAGCCCCAATGCAGAACAAGTCATAGGTGGTTTAAACATTTCATTTTCATCTAATCTTTGCTTATTTATTTTTTCATTCTTTTTTTCAACAACTATTTGAATTCTTACCATATGCCAGGTCCTCTGCCCAATACCACAAATTGAGAAATAAACAATATCTGTTTTCTCTTTACCTGTAAAATCTAATAGATGGGCACTTACTGAACTAGCATCACACAAGCAATAAAGTGTGCATTCTTTTTTATTAAATATGTATTTTTTAGTTGTAGTTGGACATAATACCTTTATTTTATTTATTTATTTATTTTTATGTGGTGCTGAGGATCAAACCCAGGGCCTCACACGTGCTAAGCAAGTGCTCTACTACTGAGCCACAACCCGAGCCCTAAAGTGTGTATTCTTTATAAAGGCACTTGGAGAACACAAAACAAGGTGTCTGATCCAAATCTGTGATGTCAGAGAAAGTTTGCAAGAGTCAGAGATGCTTAATCTAAGAACCAAAGGGAGAGCTGGAGGATTCTCAGTAACCTTCCTCACCAATTGATTCCACTGACAAACAACTTCTTGAGGACAGAGACATTTTCTGATTTTTATCTTCCAGGACCTTGAAGACCTTTGGACCTTTGGTGAAGAGATTATGGAGTGGAATGGAGCCAGATCATAGAGAACTGCAAGGGTTTGGGGCAAGGAGGTAGTGAAGATCAATGGAAGATGAATAAGCAGAACATGAAATGATAATAAGCATACACTGAACTGAACTGTTACATTTACTCCATGTTAAGCCACTGAAGCACAATATTCCATTTAATTCTCACAACAAATTTATGCTATGAATACTACTATTATTCTCCCCATCTTACAGAAATAAAATGAAGCTTAAGAAAGTCAAGGGACTTTGTCCAAGGTCACATAGCTAGGAATTCAAACCCAGGAAGATTGACACCAAAACAAAAGCTCTTAACAATACTGATATGATCGGATTTGTAGTTTAGAAAAAAAAAAAAAAAGAGGCCAATAAATCTTGTTACTTCTACTTCTGCAATATGATCACTTCCTTTTCTATTTATCTAAAAGATTATAAACATCTCCTGGCTATTCTCTCTGCCCTCAGGTATCTCTCATTCCAGTTCATCCTCACCCTGCAAGAAGACCCACACTGCCTCTTTTCTGCCTGTAGCTCTGCATCTCCACAGAAACACTGTAGCTCTGGGATGGAATCAAGCCTCACGCTTCACCAACGTTCATTTTCAGTGATGTTCCTCTCCATTCATCCTCACAGAGGATCCTGACTATTTCCTACTGCGCTCATTCTTTGTGCCAAGAACATACATGGAAGTCAGGTTTTGACAAATGGACTCACTATTCTTTATAAGAGATTTAAGAAGTTTGTTGTTGTTGTTGCTTTTAGAAGTTTTATAAAATATTGGTCAATTATAAAAAAAAATACTGTGAATATCTCAACATGCTCCTTTTTTCATAAATGATTTTCTTCTCTGAATATTCTTTGGTATGAAGATCCTAGAATTGCTCCTTCTGCTTTTATTTCAGAGTATATCTTCACCAGTGGGGACAACATCTCTCTAGGAAGCCTAAGGATAAAGGACTATGGAGTACAGAAGAACTGGGTTTGGATCTTGGCACTTATTGTGCGACCTGAAATAAGTTGAAAACCTTTTCCAGCCAATCTTCTAAAGCTGCCCCAAGGATTCAATGAAATAGCATAACAATATTCGAGTTCCCAGCACATATTAAGAATCCCACAAACCTCCTTCATTTCCCCTTATTAGATTTCATTACAAGAATCATATTCCACATTTATCAGTACAAATGAAGAAGATCCAAAGCCACACAAAGGACACAGCTTAATTGGCACCAAGACCTTCTGAACTCAATTCTTGGCACTTTTCTCCACATTCTGGCATTCTTAATTTGTAAATATATCCCATCTATCATTATCATAGTCATACGTCTTAACAACTAGGATAAAAACACTAAAGTTTTAAAGGCAAACAAATGCATAAACTATCCACTTGGTGACATTTTAAAAAGCTGCTAAAGATGAGGACTATGAAGGCCAGGCAGCAGCAAAGAAATATTTACACTATAATTTTTAAATCATGATACATAAGAGATATGCTAGGTTTACAACTACGGAAAATTGCAAAGGAAAAGACTGAAAAGGCAAGAATAAATATTAAGGTAGGCTATTGCAGAATTATGGACAAATAATTCATGTCCACTATCTACATTTTAAGTTTGGTTCTATTTTCAAATGGAACAAATAAATAGCATAGCAACCTTTGGGGGAATAATTAGGCAGTCATTTAGTGGATGCTGAGTGACAAGCGAAGGTGAAACCAATCCATCCTTAAGGTACTCACAGTTGATAAGAAGATGCCCACGAAGGATACAGTCAACCGAATATAGAGAGATGAGGATGGTGGACCCAGCAGAGAAGGCATCAGAGTGCTGGGTAAGAAGTTGATGAGTCTGGGAGGTCCTAAAAGAGCAGCGCTCAAAGCAATTCCTCAGCTGGCAATCTTGGGAAAGTCAGGCAGAGGCATGAAGCCAGGTGTGGACCAGCGTGAAGCAGGTTGGGGATAAGGTGAATCACACAGCCTGGTATTGCAGACTGCAGGGTCTAACTGGAAGGACACAGGAGATAAAGTGGGAGGGTAGATAAGGGCCAATGGCAAATGAAACAAATGTGGGTTATAATTTGACAAGGACAACTTTTCAAGAAGACAAGACTAACATAGTATTTCAGAAAGGCAAATATTTTCTGAGTTAATAAAATATTTTACCTCTCTATATAGGATCCAAAACAAATTTATAGACCTATAGAGGTAACAAAAAAAATCTACATTTATTTTTTTTCTAAGTAGAGCTTTAAGTAAGGCTCATGACTATGATCCCACTTAATTTAACCCCGTCTTCACCAAGATGGATGGGTTAAAATAAAACAAAGGGGAATGAAGCTCATATAAGTGCCCCTAAAACTCTTAATTGAAAACTGTAGGTTTTCCTAATAAGTTATTTTTATTTTTATTTTTTATGTATATTTTTAGTTGTCAATGGACCTTTATTTTATTTATTGATACGTGGTGCTGAGAATTGAACACAGTGCCTCATATATGCTAGGCAAGCGCTCTGCCACTGAGCCACGATCCCAGCCCTAATAAGTTATTTTTAAATAAAGAGAACCAAGTTCCCATCAAGTGCCACAGTCTAGCTGGGCAAAATAACCCGGGGGGTGACAAGCAACTTGTGAAGGTTGATACAGCGGGAGCCTCTTTATTACGGGACAGTAGAGGTATATATACTTAACTAATTACACACAGCTTAACTTAATTAACATAAACTAGATACAGCAGTCAACCAATAAGGAATCCTCATCATCTTAATGATTACACACAGCTTAACTTAATTGACATAATCTAGACACAGCAATCAGTCATTAAGGAATCTCCATCATCTTAATGGCTAGCTGCCTTACTTCTCAAACCACTCCTCTTGGCAAAGTGCCAGGCGCCATCTTGACTTGTCTGTGGCCCTCATCAAACAAGGGGATTTACAAATACATTATTCTCACCAGTGTGATAACTAACATTTCAGAGGCATGAATAGAAACCAGATCTCAATCTCTAAAAGAAAGACCTGGTACAACTGTGACGGTTAAAGTATTAACTTCTGGGTCTGGTTCTAAGCTTTTAGTGCCCTAAAATAAACAAGAGTACATTCAGTAAATAAGCAAGAAATGCTACAAATATAAAGAATATTGCATTCTTCCTTGCTTTGCTATTGCCAAGTCTCTCCTACTGTGGTTCTCAATATAAAAATTATTCTTGTTTTCCTAAAGTGGTGTGCCCAGAGTTCCCCCAAAAATTATATTACAATGCTGCCATTACTACCCTTGGTGTTCCTCCCCTTGTCTCACCCATGAGTCTTTCATAGGCTATGTCTGAATCCAATCATAAATCACATTGATGAACCCACAACATTTTCATACCCTGTAAATAAGTGCCCAAAATTTACTCCTGCAAAACACTTCAAGAACTTGTTGGTGACTCAAAAGTCACTCAGAAGTTACTGAAAAGCTATAAGTAACAAACACTTCCAACTATTCCTAAATTCATGACAAATGTCTTGTATGAAGACTTCCAAGTGACAAAAAATAAATAATGCAAAAATGAAATAAACAGATACAGGGCACAAAGTATTTAGGCACCTCAATTTGAGGAAATCATTAGTATTAGTGTTATTTAATACTGTATCTTCCATACACATGAGGGGCTCAACAGGGGGCCTATATGTGTGCCAACTACATGCATCATGTCATGTCATCTTTACAACAATAGATATTACTATCCTCATTTTCCACAGAACATAAAAGAAGCTCCAGAAAGAAATTGTGTGTTTGAGAGCATACATCAAAGCAGAATAAAGCAAAGCAATGCTCTTCAAAATTACATTGAAATTTTTCAAAGTTCTAAGTGAGCAGGGAAAGAGTTAAAGAGATGGGGAGAATCATTAAAATGGCAGAAAGACTTAGGATAGAAAATGTTTCAGAGGCACGACTCTCTGGATCCTGAGTCATTCCCCTACTGCCTCCTCCAGATAAGCCCTGTGTGAAGGGCCTAGTGAAGGGCATGGCAAATGGAGGTATGCCCTAGGTGCTGCTACTGTTGGGAGGAGAGGAGGGAGAGAGGGAAACCAGGAGAGGAGGGAAACCAGCATT